TTTGAGCTCCATAATCTGTTTTTACTACCGTGTCAGTATGTATGTCCTGAGTTCCTTCATCACATACTTGGAGAGTAGCGGCTCATAATAATACCTGAATTAAACCCGAAAATCCCTTTGACCATCGATGTACTCAAAAGGTTGTATAAAATAATCCACTTGTTGTGAGGTAACTAAATGTCCAGCTTCTACAAACTACACAGGAACAATCTGTTTTTATGTATGAAATGAAGAAGTTACAAATAATTTATTCTTAAGATTTTATTTACAAGTTGTTCTCAATCATTGCTTGACAAGCCAACACTTCAGGAATAACATTAAAAAACACAAAATCACGTAATCACTCAAAGCATTAGACGCTTTGATAATCAGCCTAGACATGGTGATAGTTTCCTAATGTTATTTTTAGGATCTATAGGCAACTGTGGTGCAGCAAATGAATCACTGCTTTTTGACTTTGCGTCTACAAAACAATCTCCGCCACAAAAACTTTAGTGCATAAATAATAAGAGTTAATACTAGCAGCAAAACTCCAATCAGAAACCCCATTACATCAATTGAATAGTACTGGATCTTGGACATCTTGTAGGACTCTGTCCTCAGATGCCGCGCTCCATTATGCCTCATGACAAACTCAATCCAGAACATGGCACGGTCCAGGGGTTTCAAGGGCTGATCCCTGTGCAGGTTAGACATTGTCTTCATCTTCTCGCTGTAGGAGGGATCATGGAGTACCTCCTTAACAGCCTCCAGGAAGTTATCCTTGTTCACAGTTGCAATGTCCAAGACTTTGGCAACCCCCCTTGCTCTCATCTTGAAGAAATTTTCTTGCTGGTCAAACATGAGAGGCAGGCCAACAAGAGGAACACCATGGTAAATGGCCTCTTGTAGTCCGTTGGTGCCTCCATGGGCCACAAATGCCCTGGTCTTTGGATGACCCAGGAGATCATTTTGAGGCAGCCAGTCCAACATTAAGGTGTTGTTGCCAAGAGTGGATGGTCTTTTGCCTTTGTGCCTCCAGATCACCTTCTGAGGAAGTTGGGCAAAGGCAGCAGCAATGTCCTCTGTGATGTCCTCAGGAAGTTTTCCCACCAGGGTTCCCAATGTCATCATGATGACACCATGTTCACCTGAGCTCTGGACAAAGTCCTCTAGTTCTTTAGACAGGGGTTTGGAGGGTTTGCACTGAAATCCTGACATGTAGACGATGTTTGGCATTGTGGGTCGTGGGAACTCAAAGATAAAATCAGTCCTCATCAGCCAGATGTCTGCTGCCTGAAACAACTCCATGTAATGTACGTCCTTTCCAAAGTAACGATGGACGAATGGGATGTAATTTCGATCTGTGACATACCAGATTTGTAAACATGTAAAGACATAGAACATGAAGTTCTTTATCCTCTGGGTGAATGTCATCTTGTCAGTTAGCTCTGATCCCGGTACTGGAACATAGGAGAGTGGTGATGGTGCAATTGTGAAATGCCCCTCACCTTGAACAGTCCACCGAGCATTCAAGACAAGTGGAAGACCCAAACGATGACTTAAAAGCACCCCTGCACCAAGGAAAGGGTCTGTCAAAACCAAATCATATTTGGCATCCCGAAGGCTCTTCATCAGTTTGTCGTTCTCAAAGATGTCTCCCGTCATCAAAACACTCTGCTTAAACATCTGATAGAACCATTCCACAAGTTCATACTCCAAAGACAAGCGAGCCCAAACTGAAGCCCCGTCCCTACGCATTTGGACCATAGTCGTTACAAATGACCCAAATCGTTTCTCATCAAATCCAGCAGAAGAATTTAGATTGATGGACTTGTAGTAAGGTGACTCTGTCTTGATGTACCAGCTGTCTGAAGGTCTCAACATTGTGATCTCATGGCCTCTGGAGTGAAGTTCCTCAACAAGGACTTTCATATTGATCCAGTGGCTTCCGTCCACAGGAAACAACAAGACTTTCCCTCCTGTCACTGAGTGTGAGGAGCAGAGCAGAACCGCAAGTGCTACCAAGGCAAGTTGGTACATCTCTGAAAGAAATTGTGAGAGGAGATAGGACGATGTTAGATCTTTTTTCTCAACAAGATCTTCATGTTGTCTTCATTAACTTGGACATAAGGATTTAGAAAATAAAAAGGGGACTTCTCTGACTTGTGGATTTGGGAATAATAGTACTGACTATGAGCAGATCTCTCAAATAGGATTGACATTTTACTGGAAGACTTATCGTTTAGTTGGAAAGACAATCCCCAATGAATTATTGAGCCTAGCACTGAGAGTTTGACCTCTTCTGAAGGTCTTTTGCATTGCTTCATTTATCAGCTCTTGATGCTGCTAATGTTCAGCATTCCTCAGATTCCTTTGAACTGTTATCAAAAGTGTCAGTCATTATAAAGCCGGATTACTTTTAAACTCTGGTTAAATGTATCTAATGATGTGAATTGTAAAGTTTCAGTGACCTAGAAGCTTATTAGCAAATGAATTGGTAGATTAAATTATTCAATCTAAATGTAGTTTAAACAACATGTTGCTGTAGAGCCATGTTTCATTTCAGAACTGCAATAGCTTTAGTTCTATTTCCTCTTGAATCTAGAAAGCAGAAGTATCTAGAGAGTATCTGAAGTTTTAGTAATTAGTCGTTTCTGGTTAATTCATTGATAAAGATGTGGAATATCTTGTAAAGAATACCTAATGTAATTTTTCTAATCTAATTTTCTAAGCCGGTAACAATAAATCCTGCTAAAAAAAAAGGATTGAAAAAGAGCCATCGTCTCTATCTGAGGACTAGATAGAAAGTACCAATCAGATGCCTCCCTGGTTACCTGTGTGTACTCTCCCTTTGTCACGCACCAGTCTTGACTCAAAGTGCAGGAAAAATGAACAGAAAGTAATCCTCAATCCAAAACAAGAAGAGGACTTATGAACAATGTTGAGCAGCAACTAATGATACGTTCCATTTACCTTGAAACTCGGCTCTCGAAGCTGGGAATGACGTCCCATCCAAGTTAACCGCGTTCCAGTTACAAGTCGGTAAAGCAACATGGATGCCTCCGGGAGTACCTTTGTTTTGTTAGCTCCTACTTGAATTTTAACTCAGTCTACTGAAGTTGCTCTGAGTTTACGAGTTGGAATTCCATCTTAAGGGGGCCTTCTTGATGACTTATCAGACCGGGAACTTAGAATTTCCGACATCCGAGATCAAATGAAAAGCACAATAAGATCACAGCCCCTATTGACAAGCTGTCTGCCTAAGTGTTGGAGAAACACTGAACTTAGAAACAGCTTTTTTGAGTGTTGCTCTGAAAAACATAACACTACCTGCTAGTGTTGTACTTATTATCACTTGATGAATGACAGGAATCATTTCTTTTTTACTGCTGGCAAATGGTTATCAATAGCAGTATGTGATTGTTGCAGAGGTTGACGTTCTTGCCCATACATGATGTATTGATGACGGCTTCATTGGAGACACTTCCACTTCTGGGATTAGTATTGGAACAACTGTCATTTCTTTAGACGCTTCCTCAGTTATTGAATACTTTAAAATATGTAGAACGCAATAAAACATATTTGTGACGCCTTGACTTGTCTGCAATTCTTAGACCAAACTATGTGAAGGAATTAAAGAATAACTCCATAAAATGATTTTGTTAATGTTTATTAAAAAAACTTTAAACCAATAATTGGAAAAAATACTTTTTTGGAATAACACCACAACCTTCCTCTGTATGCACTAGAACTGATCATCTGGTTCAAGGCATGGCTTTTTGAAACTACTCTGCACATTGTGTTTCATTTCTTAAGATGTGTGCAGTAGCGGAGCGAGTGTGGGGGCAGAAGGTGCAGCCGCCCCGGGCCCACTGTTGTCTCAAGGGGCCCACTTTGAGCCAAATTTAACATGCATTTTGTTATTTAGTTGAATTTTCGAATAAAGTTAGTTTGATTAGGTCTGAGTCTCTCTTTTCTTTTGCCGCAATCAAGACACACAATGTATTTTGTAGAGCAGAGAGGGGCCCCCCTCCACTGCCAAGGGGGTTCTCAACTTCGGCAGCAAACAGCACCAGCAGGGTGCTGTGGCCTGTTTGTAATGTCATTGATTCCACCTCTTAGCACCCCCTTTGCTGGGCCCCCCGCTGCTGTCTGGAGTTTTAAAAACCTAGTCGTCTGTCTGCTTTATTTCTGTTTACCTCGCTGTTTTTCGTAACATTTAAAGTGTAAAAAAATAAATAAAAAATGTTTTCTCATTGACAACTCAACCCTCAAACACTCAACCTGGCAAGTCTCCTTCCGTTGCTAGCTCCACTAACGTAAACGCTACTAGCCAAGCAAATAAACATGTTAGCGAGGAGCACCCAGCTAGCTCCATGCAGGAAAGCAACAGTGCTGATGAAAACTTAATTGGTAAGTTGTTCCATCATTATTTGTGATTACGCTTAGATGCTGGTCTTTTGTTTGTGGGTGCATGTGTTGTAGACCGCCGTGTCTGCTTGGTTATCGTACTGTATGAACGGCAGGCCATTGCTGTCACACTGTTTACAAAGTTTGTTGTCGTGCGTGGGTTGATAATGTGTGGTTTTATTGTATTGTCTGTTGGGCTGTGTGGCTGGATGAGCGTCCAACTTCACTGAATGTCAAACTGTAGTTGCCTTCTATCTTTGGTTTCCCATCCGGCTAATTAAGTCTGCTTTACTTGTTTAATTGGTGGAATATGCGCATAGACATATCAGCACTTGTGCTGCTTAAATATCAGCAGGTCACTCACTGATAAGTCCCTGTCACTGTAATAGCACCCTTTGTAATCTGCAGCGGCATTTCTCTTCATCCTGCCCCATCTTGTATCCACATACAGCCGATATTATACCATAAATGCTATAATAAATTACTATATAGGCTACAGCATATGCTATATAGCCTATAGACGGTTTAAGGGCCCACTATTGGTCCCCGCCCCCTCTGCAATGAGCCATAGGCTCCACACCTGGATGTGTGTAAAGTATTCCAGAAAATTAGATCTGACAATTTTATTGCTCATCATCACTCCTTTTTTACCTTACCTTTACAAAGCAATATCCGACATATAAGCTTTACTGCAGAAATAAAAATAGTAAATACTAACAAAATAACTGCAATCAGAAACGCTACCACATCAATTGAATAGTACTGGATCTTGGACATTTTGTAGGACTCGGTCCTCAGATGCCGTGCTCCTTTGTGCCTCATGACAAACTCAATCCAGAACATGGCACGGTCCAGTGGTTTCATTGGCTGATCCCTGTGCAGGTTAGACATTGTCTTCATCTTCTCGCTGTAGGAGGGATCATGGAGTACCTCCTTAACAGCCTCCAGGAAGTTATCCTTGTTCACAGTTGCAATGTCCAGAACTTTGGCAACACCTCGTACTTTCACCCTGAAGAAATTGTCCTTCTGGTCGAATATGAGAGGCAGGCCAACAAGAGGAACACCATGGTAGATGGCCTCCTGCACTCCGTTGGTGCCTCCATGGGCCACAAATGCTCTGGTCTTTGGATGACCCAGGAGATCATTTTGAGGCAGCCAGTCCAACATTAAGGTGTTGTTGCCAAGAGTAGATGGTCTTTTACCTTTGTGCCTCCAGATCACCTTCTGAGGAAGTTGGGCAAAGGCAGCAGCAATGTCCTCTGTGATGTCCTCAGGAAGTTTTTCCACCAGGGTTCCCAATGTCATAATGATGACACCATGTTCACCTGAGCTCTGGACAAAGTCCTCTAGTTCTTTAGACAGGGGTTTGGAGGGTTTGCACTGAAATCCTGCCATGTAGACTATGTTTGGCATTGTGGGTCGTGGGAACTCAAAGATAAAATCATTCCTCATCAGCCAGATGTCTGCTGCCTGAAACAGCTCCATGTAATGTACGTCCTTTCCAAAGTAACGATGGACGAATGGGATGTAATTTGGATCTGTGATGTACCAAGTTTGAAAACATGCGAACAGAAAAATAAAAACGTTCTTGACCCGCTCTGAAAATGTCATCTTATCAGTAAGTTCTGACCCTGCTACTGGGACATACGAAAGGGGTGAAGGTGCAATTGCATAATGCCCCTCCCCCTGGATAGTCCACCTAACATTCAAGACAAGTGGAAGACCCAAACGGTGACTCAGCAGCACCCCTCCACCGAGAGCTGGGTCTGTTAGAACCAAATCATATTTGGCATCCTGAAGGCTCTGCATCAATTCTGCATTCTCAAAAATGTCCTCCATCATATGAAGACTCTGCTTAGTTATCTGATAGAGCTGTTCTATAAGTGTATGCACCAAGGATAAATGAGCCCAAGCTGAAGCACCCTCCCGTTGCAGTTTGATCATCGTTGTTACAAATGACCCAAAGCGTTTCTCATCAAATCCAGCAGAAGAATTTAGATTGATGGACTTGTAGTAAGGTGACTCTGTCTTGATGTACCAGCTGTCTGAAGGTCTCAACATTGTGATCTCATGGCCTCTGGAGTGAAGCTCCTCAACAAGGACTTTCATATTGATCCAGTGGCTTCCGTCCACAGGAAACAACAAGATTTTCCCTCCATTCACTGAGTGTGAGGAGCAGAGCAGAACCGCAAGTGCCGCCAAGGTCAGTCGGTACATCTCTGAAAGACATTTTGCCAAGAGATGTAAGGAAATTGGATCTTTGTTTTCTAACAAAACTCACATAGTTCTTCAATTTCAGAGTAGTCATTCACCGAACACCGCAACGGAAAGACTGCGAAATCGGATAGGACTGATTGATAATCTACTAAGCTTTAACCCTGGGATAAAACCACTGAGGAATGTTTGGATCCCCGCCACATAGAACTGGACTTCCAGTCCACTTAATCCACTTAAGTAGATCTTATTACTTTTAATTAGACATTCTGCCAAATTTCAAATGGTATTTCATCAGATACTTAAAGAAACAAATCCACAAACAAGTTCTCCTCTCAGCGCTGCAAGGTGAGACAGAGAGCCAACAGTGGCGTTCAGGCAGGTTGGTGAGTTCTTAAAGACAGAAAGTGGTGTTAGCGCTTGTTTTGTGTTTGTAAATGTCAGTTTGGGACCCCCCTTGAAAACGAGGTGATACACCTCAAGCAGGGGTGTTTCCAGAGGGGTGGCCAGGGCAGGCATGGGCCACCCTTGAAATGTGATTGGCCACCCCAGGTGCCTTCCCAAAAATCTTTAACTCTGATTGGCTATTTGCCCTGTCAGAGGCGGGACTTATGTTAAAATGAACTATTAGGTCTTTTTGCAAAGGCTTTTTTTTAAATATCAATGTAACATATTTTCTTTTGTTTGTACTTTAAATTATGAACACAATAATTTGCACATATTTTAAGTAAGACAGGTGCATGGGAAAGTAATGCACTTTGTCTTTTGCAAAGCGACTTTTATTAAGTGCTTTAACCCCTCTAATGTGTTAGAAAGTTGCACACACCTTTTGTGTTAGCGGTTATTATGCAATCATATCCATGCAAAGACTGGTTTAAATTGAATTTGTATGGTCCCATGGAACTTTAAACTTGTAATATTGGATTGAGAGTACAAGTCCATACTACGGGAAAATAATTGTTCCCACCAAAGAAGGGAGGGGTGGGGGAGGTGTGCAGAGTCAAATATGAATCTTCTTTGAGCCAGATTTGAGCCATAGAAGAATTGACTTAAACGATAAAAATAAATTGTGTGTTTATAAAGCTTTTTCTGAGGATATCATAAAATCTTGTGCCAATAAAAAAATCTAAAAGGCATTTTTTACATATCTGAAGTTGAAAACGGATCAAGAATGACCCTAACACATTAGAAGTGTTAAATTGTGACTTTGAAAAATATATATCTTCTTTTTGTGTCTTTAAAAAATAAGCTAATGTTGCCGTGACTGTGTGTTATAAATTAAATATGAATGGTGACGTTAGAAAGACAGAATAATTGATTTGTGTGTGTTTGTGCACACATCACACTTCAGGCCAGTCAGCCACCCCAATCAAAAAGATATGGACACGTCCCTGACCACAAGGGGTTAACTCTGATATTTAATATTAGTAAGAACTATGCAGTGAATCAGAGCAACAGTGTCTATACATGGTGATTACTGTTCTATTATTTTGTGTTCTTTTGTTTTTCCAGCGTTAGGTAAGGTCTATAGTGTCGGGTGTGGTGGTGCGCTACGCTATGAATGAAAGGTGCTATATAAATAAAGACTAAACCACCTCCAGGGACGGTGGGGTTCCCCAGTCTCTGTCACCCTTATAAAGGGGTCAAGTCTGGGAACCCCTGTTCTACATGCAAAGCCCCTAACAAACAGCCAAGAGATAAGAGAGATGGATACAGAGATGTAAACAGGTCACTATGGAGTTCAAGGCCGGAGATGAACTGGATTTCAACTCCGCCTTCACGTGCGCATGATAGCCGCCCTGGTGTTTGTTTGGTGTGTTGGCTACTAATAAGCATTCTAATAAGCAACTAATGGTGACTATTTTGACCTCAATTTAAAGCATTACCAATTTTTCATTTTTTTATTTTACCAAAGGAGAAACTCTTGAAACACCTGAAACTGTAATTCATTTCTTTATGAAGTTGATCCCATTAAGGTACAAGCTCAGTGTCTTGAGCATACTGGTTTGCTCTGGGATTAAGATTTTGTTCCAGTACACAAAGCAAAGTGACTTCCTCTGAGTATTTCCTGAACATATCGCCTACTCACTGCAAACAGCAGAGTGTCAGTATGAAGTTAAAGCTGAGCCAAAACAAGCTGGACGGTAACCACTACGCTCCTCAAAGGATTCCCTTTTTTTCATTTCTGGAACTTTGCTCCCCCGACTTTCATAACACCCAGATTCCCTACAGCTGAAAAGCAGCTTCCTAATTGCATAACTACTCAGTGTGGGAATTCCTGCTGCTAAATCCCACAAGGTTTACAAAAGCTGTCCATGTTCTCTCTCTCTCTCTCTCTCTCTCTCTCTCTCTTGTTTCACAGCTTTGTGTTCTTGAACTTGTTCGGCTCATTAATCCGAGGTGTCGACTTAGAAAGGGAAATCTAATAATGTCAGAGGAGCTTCTGCACATTGTGCTAACAAGAATAAGAAACTAGCTTTAGTTTCACACAGTCCTTCAAAAAGATGATGCACGGGGACCAACACAAAGGCTTTTTAAAAAGTGATGGTTTGATTTGTTTTCCTTGCAGCTTTTTTATTTGTTCTGACTTTAAAGTAATGTTTTGGAGACTTTAAAACAATGCATAAAATTTCCAACACTTTCTAACTGTTAGGAAAGATGAGGTTGAGTCTTTGCTTAACTCTTTCTGAGAAAAGAGAACATGAGGCCTGTTTTTTGTCATTTCATGGGTCATTTTGGTTCCTGTTTTTGTGAATCATTTTGTTATCCAAATCTCATCAATGTTCAGTCTTACAGTAAAGTGCTCAAACTTGAGAGTGCATGATCAAATTTACATGAATGTCTGCTCAGTGCGTTCTGAAATGCCGGTCCTATTGTTAAGCTTGCCTTCAGGAAACATCTGGAATTTACTATCTGGCTCTTTTGGACACTGAAGCTTTAACTTCCAGCTGCAAGTATTTAAAGTTCAGCCAAACACGTTCTCATAAAGGTCACAGTTTTATCCAATACAACGACAGAAACAACTGCACTGAAACATCAGGAACACGTTTTTACATTGAACTGTTAAAAAGCTTTATCACTCTTCCAGCCCTGAAACTCTTCCCTGGTCTTGTTATATGAGATCAACACTTACCGAGAGCTTCCAAGCCGTGTCAAAGCGAGCTGGTTGTTTGTTCCTCCTCGCAGCACTCTGTCTGTCGTGCAGCTCTGGCAGTCAGAGCAGCTCGGGGGGCGTTGGTATTGAGCTAACAGGATCAAAGTTCAGAGTGTGTGCAGCAGCAGCAGCAGCAGCAGCAGCAGGAACCGTTTAGTTACGCAAGCCAGAGCTGAATGAGTGTCATGTGGCAAAGTCTGAGTTTGTACTTGAGATGAAGTACTGAGATAAGGATGGAGAAGGTTAATGTGGTGTAAAGGTGGATCAGTCTACGATGGAGGATGAAGGTCTCTGACCTAAAGCCTGCTTTGATAAATTATACTGCACAGATCAGAGTGTACACACAGTTTAATCGTTGATTTTATTAATGAATCAGGATATGAAAAGGTTAGATTTGTCTTGTGACTAAAGCAAACCAGACACTGGATGGAAATCACCATTTCAGTTATTCAAAAATATCCACTTGTTCTTTTTAACAAAAGACCTGAAAGGCTTGAATCGTCGGGCATCGTTTTTGCACCTTTAGATCGTTTGCTCTGGTCTGAATCATGGACCAGTTTGTTTCATTGTTTCATAATTACCTAAAGTTTGGTCTGTGTTCACACGAGGACATTTACAAGTTAACCAAAATGTGTGATACGTGAGGAAGATGCTCTCTGATTGCTCAGAATTGCATTTTTGTTTTTTAATCAACATTGAAGGTTTTCAGTTGGCTGTAAGACGACCCCCCCTTTAGTCTCAGAAAGTGGACTCATTGAGGTCAAACACAAGCTGCACTTACATTTTTCTTTTGGTTCTTTCTCCATAGTTACCTGTAAGGATAAATTAGGAGGAAATACTTAAAAGTTACAACGACAGAAAATCACCTTATTGGTTTTATTTCATGTCAGTTACGTCCGTGCACAATGTAAGATTTCTCGGCTAAACTTTGTGGGAGATGACAAATGTTTCTTTTTTGTGTCATATGGACCAAAACCTTAACACTGAACTTCTGCACCGTAAGATTTTTGATTTGAGTTCAGAAAAAGATAGAACCGAGTCAAATCCTCTGAAAAAGTACTGAGGCAAACAAAAGAGTTCATTTACATGTCACCTGCACTCTGTGCTCTCTGCAGTTAAAGGTGTGTCAGTGTGATGTAAGAAGGTCACAGCCGTGTGTAATCAGAACACGTGCAAAACCAACAGCTCTGATCATCTTCTGTTACGAGACAAACGTTCACATCAGGAACAGTCTCGTGATCATTTCTGTTTTTTAAAGATCGATTCTGCTCATATTTAAATACATGATGTTACCATGTTGGACTCCAGCAACGGTTTTTAAACATACACAGTTGCTGTTGTAATCCTCTCATGTGGTTTCCTGCTGCTCTGAACAAGACGTTGCGAGAACTTGGTGAGAACCTGACGTCAAGTTCTACCGACAAATCAGAGCAAAGCATGGCGCAAAGTTGTAGGACACGCCCACCCAGAAGCTCTCTTAGGGCACACGCGGTCACACTGGCCATCCGTACCGTGCCCAAGCACGCTTCAAGCCTAAAGTCCAGTTCGTTTGACCGGTGTGACCGCTCCGTATCGTGCTCAGGCACGGTACACTTCATGCACGAGCACAAGCACGCAGGTACACAACGCTGACAGC